CTCAGCAGATGTCAGACCATAACTGATATAGGTCTGGGTATTTCCATAATGTCAAAGTACAGTGGCGCATAACTTTTACGTGTTTATCTATCGTAAATTTTGATATATATATATATATATATATATATATATATATATATATATGTGTGTGTGTGTGTGTGTGTGTGTGTGTGTGTGTGTGTGTGTGTGTGAAGTGCTCAAAATTTGGGCCCAATCCCACATCCCAAAATCAGTATTTCAATAACCAAACATAGAATACTGATTTTGGAAGTGGGTTGAACGAAAGACATTGTTAGTACCTGCCATCTCCCCCAACTCATCTTTCTCTCCCTGTCCTTTGTTCTGTGTTTCAGTCTATTATCTCTTTTCGCGTGTGTCTAAATAACTATCTGCCCACCAGGATGAGCGGCCATGTCTGTTTCTGTATGTTGGCGGTTGTACGTGGACGATCAAATCAGCAAGTTGCCACAAACGCAGGGGTTAGACAGGTCTAGCGTTTTTCAGAGGCACAAATCTCCATATTGTAATGCACAACAATGGAGTTTTCCTAGGCATTTTCATACGCCATAAAAGGTCCGTTTTTTATTGTTATTGTCTTCCTTATTTTTCGTATTTTTCGATATGTTTTTTTTTTTTTCATTTTCCTCCTTTCTGTCTCTTCGTTCATTTTGGAGTGTGGTCGGACATTAGAAAAGACGACTAAAGACAGTGAATTAACTAAAAGGTTGCGGGTGTTAAATGAACGAAAGACAGAAAAACAGAACAAAATCAAATCAAATCGAGGCTCCAAGAAAGATGGCAGCCATGTAATATACTTTCTTTCTGTAAGAGAAAGTGTTTTTCATTAATTTTATCGAAAAGGAAGAAATCAAAACACACTGGATGTCACATTTATACAAAATCGCCCAAACAGATAATTCCATGAATACACCAGACACCAGACATCTACGCTAATATTCTATGTTCTCTTTCTTTCTGGGAACGTGTTCTGAAAAGTTCCACGTTCAACTTACTATCCAATCTATCAAATATAAGAATTTTTTTTGCATATATTTTGGTTAAGCTAAGAACTTTCCAGCTTATTTTTTTTCTGTGATTGACTGATTCGTTTTCAATGACTTATCAACCTTTTGCAGGTTATTTATAGCCAGACAATATTTTTAGACTAGTGTTGACCTGTGTTGTCAAAATTGACGGCAAGAAGGAATGTATTATAAGTTACCTCTATTATAAGTTACCTCTATTATAAGTTACCTCTATTATAAGTTACCTCTATTATCAGTTACGTGTATTATAAGTTACGTGTATTATTTTATAAGTAATTTTCATTTAATCCAAGTACAATTTTGTAATTTAAAATAGTGCGTTGTTAACGTTAATAATTGAACAGTGTACAATTTATAAACACCTAAGGAAAGATATCCTTATATTATCCTCATAAATGTTACATATTTAAAACCAAAATTATGCTTACTGCAAAAGTTCCCAAAGCACAATACTTTTTTGTGTAAACTTTGGAAGGTCTAAGTAATCCTTGACAGTCCGTAGATTCAATTTGTAATTTTAGTCTGATTATTTCTCGTCATACTAAGAACAACGTATCATCAGATTTATATTTTTAATTTATTTTTTTCTTAAGCTATTACCAAATTCCACAAGATATACTCCGAATCGTAAAATAAAAAAAAGACTGCATTAAAACTATCTAATTATTTAATTGTATAAAATTTTAATTGCTATCATAAATAATATAAATGAAGGATATAGTGTGAATAAAAAAATCTTTTGATGACCAATAAATTATTACAAGAATTATTCCCCCCCTCTTCATTTTAATTATAATTTTAAAACATTATTTACATTATTCGGACTATTGTCCCCATCTTTGTCGCCATATTCATCACAACGTTTCGGCCGTTGTACGCTCCGGCCTTCTTCAGGTGATTGGAATGTCGAACTGAACCCTTTATTTCGCTAACTGGGGTAGACTGTTCTAGTTCCACGACCAGAGCTGTTTTTCTTTCTGGTGTTGAGTTGTTGTCCTGGAGAGTTCGTACATTCCAAGTGCCAAGATGAAGTTGATGTGACGTCCTATTCTGGTCTACCACGGCACCAACTGTGACGTCCTCGCCGCGGCGCCAGCTGTTCGCTCCTCGCTGCTCCGTTCGGGTGTCGCCGCTCCAAACGTGACGTCCGCCTGTCGCGTCAGTCGTGTTGGTATCGGTCGCGGCACCCAAATGTGACGTTCTAACCTTTTGGTGATTCGGGTGGGAATCTGGTTAGATTTAATATCAGCCTCGTCGTTCCCAACTCGCTTCCAACGCCTGGTTACCAAAGTAACTGCATTGATCTCCAGTCTGCCTACCCACGTTGTGAATTGATCTTAGGCAGACGAGATCAATCAGTAGTTGGGGCCGTAATGCAAATCGGGTTCAACGGGGGTGACATCACACAAATATGCATAAAAGAAAATAAAATGAAAACTCAAAAGTTCAAGGTATCAAAGAAAAAGATAACAAACTTTATGTCTAGTTGTTCGATACATAGGACTGCGTCTATCTCCCGACCTGTTCTATGGATTGTGACACGTTGTTTTCCGTTAGGCGAGTTTTAACGTTTCAAGTTGTTTGCTCTTTAAGAAATTGGTTTTTCGGTGTGTCTTTGGACGAAAGTCGAAAAAAACTTATTTTGATGGTCTGGATCTAAGTCTCTCTTCAAAATAATTGTTCTTGGATTGAAGAGGAGTCCGGAATATTTCAAGTCGGCTATCTGCGAGGCGGAACCAACTTCCACTGTGAGCTTCGAACTCTCTGCTGCAACTCCACTCTGCTGAACTGATTTCTGCTCACTACGACTTCGCTTATATGGACGCCGACCAAAACCGGGCTGGGTTTGTCGGCGTCGGGGGTTCCTCGATAATTCTAAATACATATCCACCTCTTTTATTTATGGTTAGAAATTTCTACTTTTTTCCATTTTTGGGAGCCTTTTCTTACTCCCACCTTCTCACCATACTTCAGAGGGGCGTGAACTGCCCTCCCCACTTCTTCGTAGCGGCTTCTCATACCTATCCTTTGGATGGGCGGCGACAGCCTCCTTCGTGCGTCACGTGATCACCACTCGACCAATGATGTCTGGTCGGGCGTGGACGAATCCGCGGCTTTGTTTCAGGAAAAAAAATATCTTGCTTAACTAAAAAAAAAATTATCTTTTCTTTTCCTTTTCTTCCTCTTAATCGCAGTTATCATTTTCTCTAGCCGCAAACAGGACAATACGAACGACGGTGGTCATAACTCTTGTTCTTCACGTAGGCTTCGTCAGTCATCTTATCGCTAATTATCCGAATGGGTGGTCTTTTTAACACGGCCAGACGTCGCCCCGAAAAGAAACATTTCTAAGTTCCCATTCATTTCCTTTCGGTACATATTTTTGATAACATAATTTTATTATCGCAGGCCAAAGATGTTCCGTCGAAAGAAATCGGTCAGTGGACACATCGTGTGCGGCTTTTGACACAATTAATTTTTCATATCTACTCAAAGCCCTTTAGTCCACCTGTTTTTCGTCACTTATCGAAATAACATTTTCATTTGGATTTTCTTTGGCCAGTCGGCCAGCAGTTTGTTTACGTATCCCAGATAACACAGCCGTCGCCAAAACACACCCGATTCCTTTATCCACTCAGAATTTCCCTGTCATTGTAATGACACTCTTTCGCCATTTGTTACTTATCAAAATATCATTTATCCATTGTCTCTTAGCCGTGGTGTTCTGCTTATCATCCACCTTTTGGGTCTCGCCTCTCTTTTGCCTTCTTTTCTTTCTTTTCTTTTTCTGCCTTGGTAAATGGTGCCACATTGATGTTGTTTCTTAGAATTTTTCGTATTAGCCGGATATGTGTGGAAGTAAATAGATGGAGTTGTCAGAAAACCAACACAATGATTTGTTTCAAGTGGTAAAAGCTTGTGTCGGACCATTCACACTTTTTGGATCTGTTGCTAAAAAAAGTAACGGTGCAAAAGACTTGCCACGGAAACTCCTAACGGCAGTCCTCATGTGTTATTATCACGGGGTTTAACCTCTCCGGATCTCAATCAATATCAGCCAGTACACGCCTCTCGGCAGACACATGCAATATAATGACCGAGTTAAACTGTCCTGAGTTTTCCTTCTCATCTGAAGTCTTTTTATGATGAAACCTACACTAAAAGGATTGCTAACCAAAGCTCAATGAGACTCCTTTCACCCTCATCAAGAGCATCTAGCCCTCGCCAGTTCTCAGTCTGGTACTTTGCATATACTAAACTTATGCCAAACAAGCCGATGTAGAAAAACTCCATACAAATCTACGGCTTCGTAGTGCCCGTTTTAAGGCCGAAACTGGAGGTTTTGACTAATGCTCGCTAACTAGTATAACTTAATAATAATATATGTGGCGTATTATATATATATATATATATTTATATATATATATATATATATATATATATATATATATATATAAAGAATTTTTATGGGGTTGGGGTGGAATAATAATGATTTAGTGATACAAGTTTTATTAACATCTGTCTATATTTCTGAGATGAGACATCATAACTATTTGCACTATTTTACATTGTTCCTCATCTTTATCGACGACGTTTCGACCGTTCTACGCTCAGGCCTTCTTCAGGTGGTGTTTCTTGGAATTTTGAACCGTATCTTTTGTTTAGTCTAACGGGTAAATTGTTCTAATTTCACGTGCCATGCTGTTGGATATCTTAGTTTCAGTTAATTCCCCTTGATAGGTCAACACTTCAAGATTTTGTTCCCTCTGCTGAGGCCAGTGATTGAACTTACAACTCATTGGGTCAAGTCACTCTTGGATCACTCAACCAACATTGACTGATACTTTTCCTAAGGATATTTACGGGTAAGTGAATGTGATGATCCCAAATGGAATTGGAACTTGGCTCTCCGAATAACAATTATTATACATTCCTCCACCCGTACATCCAAGCGTACATCACTTGGTATTCCCAAACGGTTATACATCTAGTTACTGACCAGGCTCGACGTTGCTTAACTTCGTTGATCGTACGGGAACCGATGTTTCAACATTGTGTGGCCGTAAACTTTTCTAGCTTCCTCTGTTAAGTAGTAATTCTCGGTCGGGGAGGGGGGATCAGTTTGCTAGTTAACTATAACTTAAAAACGATCCCCCACTTTATGTCCTGTAGAATTTACAATCAATATGACAACTGAGTGATGAAAAAATTCTTCGTCTGACACGCAGTTGCCAAAATCTGATCAAATAACTAAACATCAAAATTATATTTCGAATCCTATTTTTCGCTTGCCTCGGTATATAGTACTTATGGGGGTTCAGTTTATTTCTTAATAACAACATAAAAATGTTCCCTCACTTTATGCCCAGTAGAATTTCTCGGCTTGACCCACTTCCCAAAACCTAACCAAACATCAGAATTTTATTTTGAATCTTGTCTTGCTCAAGCTTGATGATGTTCCAGTAACCCCTGTTATGTATTGAGGAGGCGAAATAATTGATAGCGGCTCGGGTTGAGGAATCGGCGAGCCGAGTTCGAATTACGGTCGGATCCATTTTCATTCATTTATGTGTTAATACTCTTGAGAAAGGTATGAATCTTCTTCTTCTCTCAGCTATGGTAAATAGCAGGGCAGACTGGGTTCTATAGCCTTGGATGGCAACCGATCTAAGAGAAAGTAACTCCGAATTCAAAACTGTAAGTAGCTCCGGCGTAGCACATGCTATACAACTAAAGATGCGATCTCTCGCATTGGCTCCATGATACCGACTACGGTCGAATAATGATGAGGATTCTTGGGGATCAGTTTATTAATAACGAAGTAAAAACTATCCTTTTTAATACAGCTGACTGCTGAAAGAGTGCTGAAAAGTTACCAGCCTAAACCTTATCCCCACATCAGAATGCCATCATGACATATTATTATTATGATTATTATTATTATTAATAATAATAATACACTGCTTATGCCAAACAAGCCGATGCAGAAAACGTCCATCCCAATTTATAGTTGCGTAGTGCCCGGTGAAAGGCCGAAACTTGAGATTTTGACTAATGCTTGATAACTAGAAATTATTAAGCAAACATAATTGAAATGTTTGTTGAACCCAAATGCAGATTCTGTGATGAATATCCAGAAACAACTGATCATCTCGTATGAGGTTTCACGGTAATAGCATCCACCGGGCATGAAAAGATTGGACAGGATGGACCATTGTCTGCAATTTTTATGAGAAGAAAATACAAGAAATCTATATGGACATCACCAAGATCCGGTTACAGGACATGTAACAATTTTATGAGATATTACAATGCACAAAGGCAGAGCAATGAAATCTCATCATCCAGCCAAAGTTATCAAAGACCACACAAAACAAAATGCGCTCCTTATTGATATGGCAGACCCTGCAGACAACAATATATCTTTGAAGATCTTCGAAAGCTGTCAAAATACAAGTACTGTGAAAGCGAAATCTCAAAAATGTGGCACATGGGAACATCAACAATCCCTGTTGTAGTTGGAGCCCTCTGATTGGTTAGAAAGATTCCAGTAGACTAATTAAAAGGATTCCTGGAAGCCAAAGCCTTAAAGAAATACAAAAAAAAATGTTCTCACGAGTACAGCCCACACTTTACGAAGGGCTTTATGTATATAAAATATGTTTTGGAATCAGTTGAAATTGTCAGATGCCACTAACCTTAGGTCTCTGGGCGGGACCCTGCACACGCCAGAAATCAAGGAAAATAATAATAATAATAATAATAATAATAATAATAATAATAATAATAATAATAAAGTTGTTATGAAGAAACTCAAACCTCAGAACATCACTCGCCAAACATATGACATTTGGCGAGAGAAGGTTGGGCAAACAATTAGAAAGTACATAGACAAAAAGAAGGGACATTGCGAAATAACCGATTGACAGAGGCTGAAATTAATGAAAAAAAAGAAGCCAAGAATAGACTTTATAAATCACACAAGCCTCAGGTCATAATGAAAAAACCGAAATACATACAAATATGTGAAGATAATGCTGAAAATTTAGAAATGTTTTCAGTCACAAGACGGTAATAAAACGAGTTCAAAATTCATCGAACAGAATTATTTCACAGAAAAACAAGATTAATATACAAGAAGCCAAGGATGAAATCATGAGCCATATAAGTCAGATACAGAATATTGCAATGGAGGAACGAGAACAACTCCCAAAATTACAACCAACAAAGCATAACCTCAAAACTATTAAGCTCTATAATGCAGCACTCAAATTGATTTTTTCAATGAAGCAATATATGCATCAGCAAGCAGCAACAAATAAACTGAACATCAAAGTAAAATCTCACAGACATGAAGATCCACCTTGAAAAAGAAAAATAGAAAAGGAACACCTTAGAAGTGAATTATCAGTACTGATGAACTAGCAAAAGTAAATGTAAGAACTAGAAAAGCCAGAAATCGAAAGAAAATACAATATCAGGAAAAAATGAAGTCCTATCAACTAAAAGAAAAATAAAGCAAACAATACAACTGAAGGCTCAAAGAATAATATGAGAAAAGATCAAGATTCTATAGACAGAACAAGATCTTTCAAACCGATGCAAAGAAATTTTAATAAAACAAAGAATTGAAGTGCTGAGTTCTGGGGAAAAATATGGGCTTGCCCTAAAGAACACAACGAAGAGGCAGATTTTGCAATAGAACGAATGAAAATTCGGAATCAGAAGGACAAGAAACAGGAATAGATAAAATTCTAACTTCTGGCTATATTATTTAAATACAGCACACAAAAAACTCGCCAAAAACTTCAAGAAAAATTAAAATTCCTGCATGGAGCAAACATACTGAAAATTATAGTTGATCCCAAATACAAACTGTTAACATCTATTTTAACAAAACAGATTGACATACTACCACTTGAACTGTGGATGAAGACCAATTACTTATTCAGGAATCCTGGAAAAATTCCCGTGGAAAAAAAACTTAGTATTCTTCATTATCATGATTAAAGCTTTTAAGTACGGTATCACCTGTTATCATCAATTTCATCAAACAAATATAAAAATCAAAAAATGGAACCGGAAATAAACATCAATAGAGGAATAAAAGGTGACTCTTTGTCTCCTTTATTATTTTGCATATCTTATAGCATTAACCAGCCAACTTAACAAGACAGAATGCGGTTACAAAATAGCTCAAAAGAAAATAAACCATCTATTTTACATGGATGACTTAAAATTGTATTAGGAATGACAATGAGGGAAGCAAAAAAAGTGAAGACATTGGAATGAAATTCAATTTGGATAAAAAATCACGAGGAGAACAAACCACTGCCAATAAAAGACTTATAATACCTAGGTGAAAAATTGAAGGAATTCACCATAAGAAAATGAAAGACGTAAAGAGTAATAATCCTGAAGAATTCTCAGAACAGAATTATGGCCATTAATAACCTTGCCATCCCAGTGGTCCAATATAGTTTCAACATCTTGAACTGGACTCTAAATGACAAGACAAATGGATTCTAAAACAAGAAAGCTTTTTTCTAAGTATAAGATGCATCATCCAAAGGCTGATGTAGACCGTCTAAGTACCCCGTAAAGAAGGTGGAAGAGGTCTTAAAGAAATTGTCATACAAAGTTTTGGCTTGACGGACATGGAAACAACAAATGACTGGATTGAAAAACAGAAAATACAAACAATGTAGATTCTGTAGTAAATCAAAACAGAAGCCAAGAACCAACTATTGAAAAAGATATGAAATTTTATTTAAATGGCCAATATCCAGAACGTGCAAATAAACCCAATGTTGATAAAGTTAATAATCGATGGTTATGAGCATCTGGATTAAAGTCTGAAACTGAAGGCTTTATTCTTGCAGCGCAAGACCAGAGTCTTTTCACTAGGAATTTTCAGGCAAATATCATACATAATAATGTGGATCCAAAATGCAGGTTCTGTGACAAATACCAAGAAACAATAGACCATCTAATCTCAGGATGTTCTATACTTGCCAAATGAATATAAAAAATCGTCACGATAGACCTTACAGGTTCTTTGGAAAATGAAAGGAACATCGGCCAGCGCCGGTTACAGAAATAGAAGATGTCACCATTCTATGGGATTATACCATCCACAGACAGAAAAATTGAAGCAAATGACAATTGTCAAAAAACCAGAAAAAAAAAACTTTACTAATTGATGTGTCCAGCGGATTGTAACATAGCAACCAAGGAATTTGAAAAACTATCAAAATACAAAGACCTGGAAATTGAAATAGAAAAAATGTGGAAATTGAAAACAAGAATAAAGTGGTAATAGGTGCACTTGGAATTATAAAAATGGAACAAAACAACACATTGAAAGAATCCTGGAAACCCCAGCTTAAGAGACATACAGAAAATTGTCTTATTTAAGCAGCAACAATAAGGAGAACTTTGTCTATGTAACGCTAGCAACTTCATCGGAGAATGACCTGCCTTAAAGTAGGTAGTGTGTCCATAGCAGAAATAATAATAATAATAATAATAATAATAATAATAATAATATTATTGAAAACAAAGCTTTTTAATATTTCTGGACAATTATTAAAACTAGAAATTACCCAGCAAACATTGAAAAATAATGTGGCAGATTCTCAAGAAACAATTTAACAAAATAGAAATGATTAGCAACATATAAAACGGCATGAAAAAATTATCTGCAGTGGAAAATCTGCAACTTTTATGGGAAGAAAAAAAGGCGAAAAACCGAGAACACCATTCAGACATGAGCTTTGGTTGGGGTTCTAGATTTGATTAGAAAGAGTTCTGAAAGACTCAGGGAAGTGATTCCTGACAGCACAAGACTTAAAGAAGCACAAAGTTTTGTACGACGGACTGTATCTTTGAAAATGTGTATGTCTTTGCATTTTATTTTGCATAAATGTGCTGTGGAAATTGTCATGATGCCATTTCCAACCCAGGAAATCAAAGGAAATAATAATAATAATAATGCTGTGGAAATTGTCCTGGTGCCATTTCTAACCTCAGGTCTCAAGGGACACGGGAAAGAAATGTGTAGACA